CGGTTTCCGGCCTCGGATCGTCTGTCCGATGCACTTTCTTAGTTCAGAGGCTTCTCGAGATTTCCACCCCACCTCTGTCTCCCTCTTGCCTTGGGCGGAATATGGTGAGCTGGTGATAACAGGGATGTACCAGTCGGTCACAAATTGTCGGGATTCGCCCGATCTGAGGTCCCTGATCGCAGTGTCGCTCGACCAGAATTCGATGACGCGAGGAACGCTTCTTTGCTGCCGGGATAATTCCTTTTCGCGAACGCCCCTCCGAGAAAACTTTTCGACGGTAAGGGGTCATTGTTTCTCTTGGAATCCGAGCAGGTCTAGGATCACTGCTTGGGAAAGAAACGTGGCTCATGATGTCTGTACCATATGTTCTTTCTGTTGCTTGGCCTGGGACGCCGAGGGAGTGGATGGACACGGAAGTCGATGTCAGTTTGGGCTCGGGTGCTTGATCTCGAGCTTCTGACGTCTCAAACTTGAAGGAATGGAGATTGCGAGCTCCTTTTGGATGGAGCCGTCCGGATCGTAGGAATCGCATCCCAACTCAGCCAGTCCGCTACCGTGTTCTGCTTCCCACTGATGTATTTGGAGGCAGGGAACTTCTGACCGTAGGCGCTCAGTCAGTCTCTACGGTGAAGCTTCTCTTTTTCAGATATCTCGCATGCTATCAGGATTTCTAACAATTGTCTCTCTATCATTGCGTAATCTTCCTTTAACTGGTCGGAATGCTGCACCACAATATCGAAGAACGCTGCCTGCTGTTTCTCCCCAGGTGAAGACAATCTTGCACTTGGGAGCTCACGCAGCGGTGCTGTGAAAATGGATGGGTCTCCTCTGTACTGCCCGCCCTAACCGCTGGCGCGGGCGCCGGTCCAGTTTCTGAGTTTGACTCTTCCTGCATGCTGCGCTCCTCTATCAGAGGAGCATAAGTTCTCTCGGTGCCGAGATGCATCGGAAAAGAGGAGCACCCGGGATGACGCGGCTCCATTTAGCTTCACCGGGGTCCGTAGCCGTAGGCGGTCTTCCTGTCGCGGAGCTCGAGTCTACGCTATTCACACAGACAGCAAGGAAGGGAGCGGATTGAGAAACTCGTGCCATTATTTACGGGTCGATCTCATTGAGATCGAGGTGGATTCCTCCGATACCGAGTCAGCAGTCGGCGTAAGTACCCATGCTTGAATACGCCCCGAGCACTCAGTCAGCAGCCTTCGCGATCGCGCACACTAGTAGCGTACCATCAGAGCTCTGCCCATTCTAGGAAGTTTAATGGAAAGATTCCAATAAACTTTCGAATGACGGGAAATCGGTCCTTTTAGCGGAGGATTACGCTCAAGGATTTGGGTGAGGGGGGGGGAGATTGGGAAAAAAATTGTGAGCCAATTTCCTCATATTCTCATGCTTGAATCTCATATTTCTGATAGGAATGCTTATATCGTCGCTGCAGTCGTGTATCGTCGCTGCAGTCATTATCAGCGCTGCGTCAACCGGCGAAGCTACGGTTGCGATTAATGGAGCAATAGATCATCATGCATTCAGTATGTCAACAATGCAACGCCGTGGTGGCCCGTCCTTCGAGGCGCTGCAACTGTATCGGGATGCATTCTCGGATGTCGAGATAGTTTCCATCGATAAGGTAATGAGCATGATAAATGATAAAGGCCCTTCATCATTCTATCAACGAGCGATTGAAGAGCATAACCATGGATCATGACTCTCCTTTCGGTGAATCAGAAATTATTTTCTGTGGTTATCTGAGGCAGTTCCCTCAAGCTTTGATGAAAATATGACTCGAGCCACTCATCGTGTTGTTTCATGGTGGTCCTTGGGGCTTCATTCACTAGGTGAAGAGATGAGACAAGTAATTTTCTTCAATATTGACCGAGACAGGAAACGGAGTTCCTCTCCGGATCCATACACGGTCTCTTATGAAATCACGTTTCCGAACACGCCAATGGTGCGAAGAAAACACCGCAGATTATTCAGATCATCCCTCATGAACATTGATGTAGATGGGTGTGCCAGGACAGTGTTATCCCCGCATCAGTAGCCATGGACACATTCACGTTCATGCAGTTCTCGATGTAATCGTTCAGTTCAGCCGGAGATAGTCTTTGAACTGTTGGTTGGTGGCAAGATCTCATGTTTGTAGATGTCCCGTCATAAAACGGTCTACACTTCTATCGCTCAGGATCTTCATCGTGTCTTCAGTTCAGAGGGCGCCCGCGGATTCCCAGATCAATGATGCTCTTCTTCTAGCGACGAAGCTGACCTTCGGAAGTTCCCCAGACATGCCATGGTCGTGGCCGCTCCGCTTCTAGAATTTTTCGTGCGGTGGATCCCGAGTAGATCGTTCTCCGACAGCGCCAGTGTCCGAACTTCACCTTCGGGAGCCACGGGGGAAAGGGGGGGCATTTGAGCGGATATTGGAAACTGGACACTGAAATATTACTAACCTGACCGCCAATTCCCTCGTCGAGTCTGCCCACGAGGCAAGTTTTCTCTCGTCCGATGAACAAAAGAAACACGGGTGGAACCCCCGGTATCTGATGTGATCAGAGAGCATCGAGCACCTAATCACTTCTGCAGCCCGGCGAAGGAAACACCGGGGCAGCGCTCCTCAAGGCCTCCCTTCACGGGGATACCACGCCTTTCTCACGCTCTCTGAGAACGAGGAAGAGGCTCCTACGCAACGGGAAATCAAGGTAACGGTTTCACTTCCCGCGGCGCGGCGCTCGCTCTTCCGGATTCGGGAGAGGGTGGTTCACTCCCCCTCTATTCGGACAGCTGCCATCGGTGATCATCCTGGAATATGGGGTCGACGTGAACGAAGTTTGAAGGTTTGAACACCGAACTTCGACAATAGGCCAGGCCCAGGACGGCACCGATACCGCATTGCGTGCCATTCATCGAAGCTTTCCGTAGAGTCTCTCGGTGAGGAAGGTTGACTCCAACCGTCCGTCTCAATCCCCCTCCATCGCCAAGCGTCGTCAGTCCGTCAGTCGTCTTGAAGAGAACCCTCGATCTACTCCAGGATCTTCGGCAAAGTCCGGAGCTGATGAGTTCACGGCGTTCACCGAATTCCTAGCTGTCCGAGAGCGCCTGACCAGGGGACCGACGGACGGGCTTTGGCAGCTGAATCTCTCGCGGACGTCTCATTCATTGGATTTGGATGTCGGTGTCAGTTTCACTATCCTTTCATTCCTGAGGAAAGTGCGTCGTTCGTCCGCTCCGTTGGGGGGGGGAAGACCGTCATCTCGGAGCATTTCTTGAGTAAGGTCCGAGACCCGACTCGGGATTGGGCTCTAACGGCTCAAAAGGTTGAGATCTTCGATTTTTGAGCTTGAGTTGACAACACGACAGTGTCGTCAATGAATGGGAGATCAGAAGGAGCGACCTGGAACGGAAAACGGAACCAATGAGGAAGGTTCCGCCTTCGTTCGATTCCCCCGTATCACTCTTCGGGTAAGAGAACAGCGATGCGAAGCTCGTCCGCTCGTCCGCTCTGCAAGAAGTTGAAGATCGAGACATGAGCCGCATCTCCACAGCTACCCTCTTCTCGGTTCGCAATACCTGCACCCGTTCTCCTGTAGCTAAACCAAAGTCTCGGGAGGATGATCCAGGTTACATGTTACATGTACCATCCCAGTGTGTGATGTGATGCGTGGGCTGCAGAAGGCGCGCACAGCGATCATGGATCATCCGGCCGGATCTCATCTGTCGTCTTTCCCTCAAGCTCGATCGGCTGAGGCCACATCAAACTTTTCTTTGGTGCGTCAGGAGTGCTTGCGAGAGAATTATCCTCACGACGGAGAAAGTGTCCACGTTGGTCAAGATATCTGAAACTTCCTACGTACCTACCTATGGATTCCTTCCTCTACCGAAGGCTGCGACGGAGCAGCGGGAAGGCCGCATAGGCCGAGGCTTGATGTTCCGAAGATGCCACCAGAGCAGGACTGAGCTCCCTTAATAATTAGGCTCCCGACGTTTTCCGCCGTGAGACGCACGCAATTGCCCCGGATGTGCCCTCATGGAGGGGTCCGCCCGATGATTCCGTCCGAACTCCCAGCAAAGATAATCGGCATCATTGTTTACGCTCCTCTCCCCTGCTGTCGTCGCGGGAGAATCCATTTTTTTTTGTGGAATCCGTCCCCGCACCGCTCTCGTGTACGCGCTCCCGATGGACTTGGAAAATGTACAGCTCCCGGCTTCTGCGAGGACACGTGAAAGCGCATGAAAGCGCGCCACGTAATGCGTGCAAGCCGGAGTCGCTGTCTACGCGAGAGGAGGGATTTCGAGTAGTGCCAACGCGCGCGCCATAAGGAGGGTAAATGCTCGTGGTATCCCCTGACGTGGGGTCTCCCGATACAACTGTTGTCGACTCCTGAAGTGCGTGTGTGGATATAAGCAGAGCGCAGATTCAACTCCGAACGGCTCCCCCGTCGTTGTCGAGGGTGCTTACAATTCGGTCAGCGTCACGTTCGCCGAACGGCCAAGCCGCAGACAGTAGCAGCTGCCGGCCGGTCGGCCGATTGGACAGTCAGTCGAGCTCATCCGTCTGTCAGTCGTCAGTCGTCGTGGATCGGCAACATCACCGGATATAAGCTCACGGAATCCACGGAGGCGAACGTCAGTCAGACATTCGCTGGAAGAATCGAGTGATCGCTAGCATAAGCAAACGATTCTCGTTGTGAATTTGTGTTTCCCCGATGATGATTCGGGGAATCCCCACCGAAGGAACGAAGATGTTCTCGTGCCTGACCGCAGGGAAAGTGTTTGTTTGTGAGCTGTCGGACGTGAACTGCTCGTGAAGCCCCCCTCCCCCCCGGCTGCTTCAGCTCCCCTTCTTCTCAACAAGCTCAGCGAGAACATGCTTGCAGAGCTGTTCTCCACCTGAGCAGAGACGACGAGCACAATTGCGGAGCCGGAGTGCGGTCGTGAATTTCCCAGGACGGTCTAGGCGGACACCTGATGACGGAGGCTGCGTTGGACGACGGCGAATCGCTATGATGTCCCCGAAACCTTCGAAAAGTAAATTGGCCATGGGCGACTGCTGTTCCGAAGCGGCAGACTCTCGACTGGGTCCGATCAGCAACGACGACCTGCTGACGAATCTGCATCTCTCCGAAGTGATCCACTCGCATCGGCAGCAATGCAATTCGTTGGCGAGCAAATACGGCGAGCTCATCGTGCTCGGTTACAACGGAAGCTTGCACGAAAACGAGAAGGGTCGTCGACGGAGCAAGTATATTCTCAGTCGGCGCGCCCTTGCGAACGGCATTCGAAAATCTCGGCATGTCAGTGTCGCCGATCCGGCGGCGTCGGCGGCCGTCCTCGACCAGAATCAGCATTCGATAGCCTACACGCTGTCGCGACACCAGTCGATTATCGTGTTGTACGAGAAAGACCCCCACACGGATATGTTTCAGATCGGGCGGAGCAAAGAGAGCCAAATCGACTTCGTCGTGATGGACACAATCGCCGAGGAACAGAAAAACGGCGAATTCCGCTCGGGCATCTCTCGCTACGCCTGTAGACTGCTCATAGACCGCGACGGTGAGGAACACGCGGCCCGGATATTCGCCGCGGGCTTCGACGCCTCTTCAAATATATTCCTCGGAGAGAACGCCAGCGCATGGCAAGGCGCCGGAGGAACGATCGACGGCCTGACCACGAACGGCATTCTTCTTATGCATCCGATGGGAACGTTCTGCAAAGACGCGAGCGCAGGCATCTGGCGTGAAGTCAGTGTCGACGGCGGAGTTTACGGACTTCGTGAGAGTCGCGCTGCTAGAAGGGCTGGTCCCCGAATCGAAGACGAGACCAATGAACTCAAAGACGGTTCACTCATCGATCTTTGTGGAGCAACTTTACTGTTCCGCTCGGTGGAAGGCCTTTCAAACTCGCCGACCAAATCTGAACTTCTGGAAAAAGTCGCAAAACTCAACGCCGGTCGACCGCAGTGTCCGGTCGGTCTGAACACGCTGGTGGTGCCTTCGAGATCGACGTTGTCGCACAAGGATCGCGAGAAACAGCCGTACGTTTATCTAAAGTGTGGCCACGTCCAAGGCCTGCATAGCTGGGGTTCTCAGAACAGCAACGAGAAAAAGTGTCCCATGTGTCTCAAGTGCGGGCCTGTCGTCAAGCTGGTTATGGGGATCGAGCCAGCGTTCTATGTCGACAGGGGTCATCCGAACTACGCATTCAATCCATGTGGTCATATGGCCTCTGAGAAGACTGTCAAATACTGGGCCTCTGTGCCCACGCCCCACGGAACCAATGGCTTGAATGCCATATGTCCTTTCTGCGCGGCTCAGCTCACCGACACCCCGGGCTACGTTCGACTGATCTTCCAAGACAATATCGATTGATCGATTAATTAATCAATCAATATATGGGCGCGATAAGAGGAAGACTTTGTGACTGCACAAGAAATCTTGTCGATGCGCTCGGAGACCTCAACTGAGGGGTTTCCGTTGATCACGATCGAACGTGGCGCAGATTATCATTGAATGAGGATTCTTAGGCAACCTATGAAGCGATATTGAATCACGCACACTTTATATAATTGTCCCAGCCAGTACGACAAGAATGCTATCGTTGCTTTTCTTACGACGTGCCACTCCGGATATGGGCGTCGAACGCGCAGTTTCACTAGGGTCTGGAGCTCTGTGAGATTTCTGTGCCGGAGGAACCATGGCGGAACAGGATGTACGGGAGAGTTGCGGCATATAGGCGGAAAAAAATCCCAAAAACTTCGGAAATGACGCCCTGTCACATTCCCTCCCCTGAGGTTCCTTGAGGCTCTCACGGATTCTCCCTCGCGAAAAACTCCCGGACGCATCTTGGATCGCTTGATATGGAAATGTACCATTCCTTCCCTCCCGAAACTAATCTCTAAACCTCGTTGCGAAACTCCTTGCCTCTATCGTTGGCGATAATTGTATCAGACAGCTCCCTCAACACTTCCAACAAATAAGGCGATCTGTTCGATGAAGGGGGTCTCACTCAACGTTCATACGATTCTCGACATGCGAGTGATTTCCCGCGGAATGTAGAGATCTGATCTGAGTTTCGATGCTGTGACGAATCCGAGTCGAAAATACGTCATTATTGCGAATCTCACCGATTGTATCTGCGCTGTACATATGTTTCGGGTACCACTTTCCGTTATTTCGGAATTTTCCGTGGATTTGACCTTCTTGTCCTTTTCGTTTCCCGGGCTGAAACCTCCGCAAAATTTTGTCTTCTCTCTCGGGAGGAGTTGCGTCTGACCGAGATTCGCGAGAGACGTTGTTCGGTGCGCAGACCGCAGAATTCCCAGAAGACGCTGGATTGCGTACTTGGGCTCTGGATCCCGGCGGAGGAATCGAATCGTAATAATTACAAGACGACCCGCACCCTACGCCATGTGACCGTATCAAATGACTCGGAGACGTAGCGGGATTAAATGAAGGAAAAATGAGACTCAGATTGCAAGAGATGGTTGCCAAAACAATTGACTTGACCAGCATCGGATCCTCTACTCAGCCTCGACCACGGAATATTACGCTAGCTGGCGCCAGATCGCTTCATCGCTTGCGTTCCCGCCGGTAGCCGCCCTGGCAGCTTGAAGCGAAGCGTTTCGTTGTGGTCGGTCTTCTCAAGACATTTCGCCCGGAATACGTTGCCAAGTTTTACGTCTTTGTCTGCCAAGAACAATATTTCCTCAGTGTTCTCGAGGACTTTCGCTGAGTTCGAGAGGCCGGTATGCTATTAGAGTGATTTGTGGTGTCCTGGGATGGCAGGGACAGTCTCGGCGGCTGTGAGCGAAACCCCGATAAGGATTCGTCCGCATCGGTCATAATTTTCAGGACTGAACCTCGCCTCTGTTTGTGAAAGTCAGGCTCCACCGCGCATCCGACTCTCTTGTCACTTCACGACTCGTTCTCCCACTACGCTCGAACGTCTAGAAATTATCTCTTGATTGTATTTTTATATATATTGTACTCGGAATCGTTGTTCTAAAACCTATGATGATTGCGATCAGAAGTCACAGTATTTCGATTGTGTTCAAGTCACCCGGATGCTTCTCGTGTGTTCCTAATTTTTCCGTGAAATATCGAATCTCGGTGATTTCCCGAGTCGTTCGGTTCATCGTCGCACTCTGAGCGTCTGTGAGCTCATAGTGACTGTAATCACCACATGATATCAAATTCTGAATCATCGGGGAGTCTGACCATCCAGTGTCATCTATAGAGATTTGACCACGTTATTAGAGCCTTCGGAGATTTTGTTCAAGATTGGATAAGTGGCTCGGCAACTTTTGACCCAGTCTCATGAATCTCCGTTGACCAGCAGGAGCCTTTTGGGGGAATTTCCGCGGGAAAGCGCAAGTGACGTGTCCGATGCTACGCTGCGTTAACGAAGCCGCTGGGACGACCCGCTAGGACGAGAAGTTCTGCTAATGAGGCGAGCTCCGACTGAGTGAGCGGCATCCACCGCGACTTCCCTTGCGAGCCCTCATCGGGTGGTCGCTTGACGAAGATGAAACCGGAGACCAGTACATGCTAGCTTTGTCACAAACCTCTTATTGCGGATATTCGGAGGCGAAAGTAAGGAGAATCGGATCTGATGTGTCGGAACCCGATGAAAATTACTTTTTGCACGTAGACTTCATACATTCATTCATTTTTGGTACAGGTCACGTATTCTTCCGAGTGATGCTCTTCCGAGTTATAGATCGGGAAATGGCGAGTGAGTCCCTAGTACACGCAGAGCAGAGCACCGACTGTTTCGATCCCGCCCTTCTCGTATACGGCTCTGGTACAAATGATGTAGAGGCTGAAGTCACGAACGAAATGAAGGAGCAAGACTAATGAAATGCGAACGGAAATTCGAAACGTAACACTTTGGAGAGAAGTTCCTTGTTTCTCGAATCCGACGAGAGGACGACCACGAGAGTTGATATATTAGATATGATTTCGCTTTGAGGATGGACATGGTTCGAAATGACTTATGGCCGGACAAAGGTACCTGATTATCACTGACCGGGATCGTATTCGACGAATTAAAATATAGGAAGAGATTGACGATATCGTTGATAGGAACAATTTTAAGTCAAAATCAATTGTTTGCGCGTGTGTCAGTCGCGAATTAGAGGAACGGATGACTCATACTGAGCACTGGGACACTCCGAATAAGGTCTATGGCCTAGTGGAACATAATAAACTACGATTCGTGGAATGAGTTATTATGGGACGTCGAGTCAAATGTAATATCAGAGGAACTCTATGAGATCACTACGGATCATGAAGTAAGCGAGAAAAAATAGTTTCGGCGCTCCTCGTTGAGCGAGAAAGACTTCGCCCTAATGATGAATGTAAATAAGTGTAATCCATGTATAAGCTCGAAGTCGCGTACATGAATGTTCAATAAAGCTGCGGACGAAGGCTCGAATACAATGATCCAAATCACTCTCAAACATGAGACTCGCGAATGATTCTCGACTAACCCGGGCCGAGAAAGGTCCGGCCAAAATTGGGGGCAGAGGTTCAGAGTTATATCCTGATCCGCCCGGTCGCATGATGATTTTGACTATCAATGGGGGGCTGATGGTGAAACCCCCCACGACGATGAGGATGCTCGAAGAGCTCATTCAGTTCTTCTGGGATCATCTTGTGTCAGAGCTCATTTTGCGTTCAGGGTCTTCTATTTAGAGAGCCATCAAAAGGTTCTATCATTTTTGTTATCGATTTCCAATCTCGACTCAACCAAAATTCAGGGACATCATTTATTCGAACCAACTACACAAGGAATCCTTTCCCGATTAAGGCTCGAGATGTCATGTCACGAAACAGCGATCGTAAATGCTGGCATGTCTTTTTGAAATTCGGTCAATTCGGTCGCGGAATGCCTAGCGGACACACTGTCCATATAAGTAGATGCTCCGGTCATGCTCGACCTGGACTTCGGCAGATATCTTTCTGCCTAGAAAAATAAAGATCGCGATGCGGGAGGGGATCAGATGGGCCATCGTGGGCGCACCGGACTTTCCGCATTCGTCGTTTATAGAAGCGTTTCGACTTCTACGAACTGATCGTCTCTCATTATCGCGAACAACTTCTCCCAGGACGAAAATTCGCCGATGGAACGCTTGCAGCCGACCAGGATGAGTTTGGATCTCGCCCGGCTGATTGCAACATTGATTCGCTTCAAGTCATTCATGATTTCGTTCTCCTGCAACACAAAATGAAGTGGCTCAATCGGAAAGAGTTCGGGGCAGTTCAGATTGCCGGTGGGTCCAAGTTTTCTGCGAACTCATGGATATCTCTCGACAGATTTCTCGAGCCCCTCGATATATCTATCTCACTGATAGACGATCCAAGGGTATTCATCTCATAATGCTCCGCCAGATCGAGCCCGACACTCACGAAGGTTGCGTCCGTTCCGGTCCGAACGCATGACATGATCATGACTTCCTTTTCCTTGCCTTGATACCGGTCGATAGTACTGGACTCGACGCCCTCTGGTAAAATGCCTTTGAGGCAAGTGACCTGATCCGTATATGAACTGATCACGCCGATGTCCGCTTTTGAGAGGCCACGCTGCAAATAAGAAGCGGGTCAGGAATATTCCTCCGTCAACTTAATGTAGACGGTGAGTTCTCCTAGCCTATGGACGGAGAAGATTGATGGACGATTGAGTCGGTCGGATGGACCGTCTGTACCTGGGTCGACTCAATCAAACAATTGAGCGAATCGACGAATTCATACTCTCAGAGCTAATGACAGTAATGATGAGGCGATGCGCGCATAGATTCCGATCGGTCGAGCCGCAGATTCGTCTGCGGCGGACACCAACCCCACTGACCTCTATTAGTAGATTTATGATGTTTCGGATAAGATTGGCTTCTTCGAGGTTGTCCCGACCATTCGTGCTCTCGCTGTTTTTCTTCAAGTCCAAAAAGACGACAGCGTCGCGGAGATTGCCCGACACACATCTGCGATAGAGGTCGTTATAAAGCTTACGGGTGTCACGCTTCAGTGGTCAGAGAAAGTCCGCAGCTCTTCTGGGGCTCTAGAGAAGACGGGAGAGAGAGATATTTGCGGCACCGCGCCGCAGACTCGATCACCGCTTGAGACGAGGTTTCTGACGAAATTCCTCTCCGTCCAGAGTATCTCCCTCCTAGATAGCGATAGCTCGAAGAGTACCTACTTTAGCAATAAAACAAGGCCCTCCCTAGACTCACTTCCTCTGCCAATCTTCTAACTTGGAGTCCTTGGTCGCGTCCAATTTCAATGTCCGATTGGCGACCTGGTCATTGCCGCAAACAAGTTTGTTCTCATAGACTAGGCCGTTTGATAGCGCCATGATCTCACTGTTCATTCGATATTGATAGTTCAACGCGATCAGATTCGACGAGTCTGCAGCTTGCAGACGCTTGAACAAACATTCGTCCATGCCTGGGAATGATCCGAGGATAAGATTGATATCGATATTACAAGCATGATGCTCTCAATTTCCATATCGTCTGTCTGGGAAAAAGCCGGAAAATTTGAAATCCTGACCGAATCGTTTAGCGCTCCTCGAAAGTATAACCGGCGACAGCTGATCTGGGTCCCCGACCAGGAGGAATTTTTTCGCGCACATTATGGGACCTAGACATGTAGGTTGAAGGACCTGGAAATTAATCCTCCATGTCCGTAACCCGCTCCGATATTCGACTAGTCAAGCATCGAGTTTCCTCAGAGCTCACTATCTGATCGCTTTAATGCATTCAGGGAGCTGCATTATTCAATTCACCTGAGATGCTTCGTCCACGATGCAGTAGTCGAATTTCTCCTTCTCGAATACCACATTGTTCGTCCCCAAACAGGTCGCTCCGAACACCATTTTCTCGGAGTAGAATTTCTTGACTTGGTTGACGTTGTTCACGCCGGCCAACTCGACAGCGGTGGACTTCGCTCGAATAACCTTATTCGAAGTATTACCGATACGAACGAAATCCACGCCAAACTTATCCAAGCGTTCCAGAATGTTGTCCAAAGCATTGTGGGTATAACTCGTCACCAAAACCCTGAGAAACAAGCTTGGTTCGTCTCTCGGAGCTCTCGCGTTCAGACTCGCTCGGGGTCAGAGCAAGACGGAATTCTAGAGAACGATGACATCCGTATAACCTCTGAATTCGATTACAAGTCTGAGACCTCTGTTAAGAACAGAGTCAGGACTTACCTCTGATTCAGTTTCACGAGCGCGCGAACGGTGGCGACTATTACCGAAGTCTTCCCCGTACCAGGCATACCTTTCAAGAGGAGGTAGTCGTTGCTCATGAGGGTTTTGATGATTGCTCGTACTTGTGTATCGTTGAGATCATTGAAGATTTCTTGGCAGAGCTCGACGTTCTTTCGTGGATAATCGCGCTCGTATGTCGGAGCACGGCGGTCGATCACTAGCTCGCGCAAATGAACATATTGGGGCTGGAGAATCCGAACCAAATTGGTGTACGTGGTGTTGGAGGATGATGAGCTGTTCATCTTGTCCACGCAATAAACCTGAGAAGAATATCGAAGTCTCCAATGTAGACCCAAAACCTTCTGGGAACGTTTCCATTCTCCTTTCGAGTCATTCATCCCCTCGATGGAATGCCTGCCGGAGCTCAGTCTGAGGCGTAAAGCAATAGATCGGATCCCCTCAGACCTTATTGGGATTCAGCGGCGTGCCGGCCCCGACGTCGTTGATTAGGCTCAGGGTGATGAAGTCCTGGCCTATCTCATGCACGAAACCCGTGCGGTTTGCAACCCTCGTTTTGTTTCCCTGCTCGCTGACGGCTATGTAAGAATCTGGAAGATCACAGTCGACGGACTCGTTGAGATAATCGGAATTTTCTCCAGACATTCCCATAGGTTCAACAATTTTCCTCTCATTCGGAGGGAACTCTCCCAGCTCGAGGTTTCGCCTCATCGAGTGAGCCAACACCTACTCGGGGCCAAAGAGGTCGACTCGAGGTCGATGGGACCCCTCAATCGCAGATACGATCCACCCATCGAGGAGGTTGTCCCGTTTTTAGGTTTCAGATCGATCTGGAGATCCTTGATGCAGTTGCCCGACGCGACTCGTTCATCGAGCGGTATCATCCAAAAAGCACTCGGAGTTTTTTTCGAAGCCTTTGAGCACTCTTTATCCAGTAGGCGGAGCCAATGCCACACGTAATCGATTTGTTCTTTGCTCAGATCTCCTGGAAGGTTATCGTGAATCGGACTCGAGGTGAGTGATGATTGATGATAGAGAAAAGCGAGCGACACGAAGTTCTCCGAAATGCAATCTAGGATCGAGCATCATTGAGCTTTTCAGACGAAAGATGGTGGACTCGTCTCAAGCGGAGAGGGCTGATAGATAGACGGTAGGTTCGCGTTCGGAATCAGCTCGTTCCCGAACTCTTACCTAGAGACTCCTCCGCGACTTTCGCTCGCACGGTCCCGGCCGGGAGGTCATTCGTCATCTTGGCGTAAAGGGAGCACACTGCTCTACAGGAGCATTGAGAGCATCCTCTCTCATCTTCCTTGAATTCCCCGAGAGAGCCAGCGTCGATCTCGATTCCCTCCGGTCCTTTCCGCGGTGTTTGAATTTTTTCCCACGATGTCGCTAGCTCATTCCTCTGCTGCATGAGAGATTGCCTGACGGATAAAAAGATTTGATTTTGATCTGTCTACCATTGGATGCGGTCGCTCATCCATAATTCTGCTCGGACTGACGATCATGCTCCGCTGAATATTTCGAATAGAGACAGCGTTCAGAGTCGTGCGACGAGACTTGTGGAAGTGTCTTCCTCATCCGAGAGAAGCGGAAGAGCGAGCGTGTTTCGGGAAGCGACTCACAATCTGGGTCGAGCGCCGCGCCGCTACCGCCATGAGTGAATCGCCAGAGTGAGCAACGGTGCGAATGTCGCGTTTGGTAATCATGATGATGAATATACATTCAGACATTACGGGGTCCGATTATCATCATCAGATAAGAATCTGTCCTGATCTCTGCGTCATCCCGCTCTACCCCTAGGTCCTCCAAGCTTCTTACCCAGCGTTCCCTGTGACCTTGGTCCCCCTATTCGTTCTCCCGTTCCCTCCTACCTTGTCGCCCCTCGTTCTCTCGGAGCTTGTCCCCGCATTCCTTCTCCCGTCCCTTTTGTTCTCCGTTCCCCGTCCTGCCGCTATCCGCCGCCATCTACGCCATTCCCCTTCCCCTTACGTTGAGGACCTCAACCACTAGGACCTGATTCGATTCTGCGAAATCTGCGGGATTTCGCCGAATCCCGTCGGCGAAAGCGCGGTGGACGGCAAGATGATGATCCGGTCGATGAATGAATGTTCCCCCCTACGTTCATGGACTTGGAGTCCCTTATTAGGTCGACGTGAATGAGTCTCCGGTGTGTGAGTTTCCCTGGTACAATACGTCTCGAAGAAGCTGTACGAACCCGGTAGCATTTGGTCCGGCCCCGCGTGAAGGAGGAACGGAACCCTAATTATTCGTTGAGAACATGCCTGTACTCACAGAGCGAATCTGTTGGGTTTGACGAGGCGTGAGTCGTTACTGCGCGAGATGTAAGTCAGAATCCCGGTATCGCATGAATCAGGATCGGAGAGCGCCTTGCCGCTCTTCTCATTCAACATCGCTGTGTAGAAGAACACTTGAGCCATGTGATCGTTCCCGAAAGTTGGTTTGCCGGTTTTAAGCTCCAATGGTACCTGCCGGAAATTCGTAGGTCGTCGGCGAATGGAAGTTTTCCTCACAGCGGAACTTTCTGAAGATGTGACGACTGAATGAGCGTACTCAATCTATTCTGACAGATGGGCATCTTCGCCTTCCTTCCGATACTCTCTTCAAGCGTTCCTTGAGTTGATGCTCCCTCCGAGAATACCTCCCTACGAGAAGTTTTCCGTGACTCGAGTCGCCCGCCCATTGAAACATGCTCGTCTATATTTCCAGAATTTCCCTGGTGCCCGTCTTCTAGAATAGGCCTGGCTCTCTCATCAGACTATCTCAGGATGCCCATCTTTCAGAGTATGCCCAACTTTCATTGCCCCCCCCCTATATATTGTAATGAACACGGTATTCATATCTCCGCCGCCGGTCGACGTCAAGATGCAGCTTCCTTACCTGAGGCATGACGCGACCGTCTGGAGTCTTCAGCCTCACGGTCAGATCGACTTTTCCTCGCACGCCCAATCGCGGACACAGCAGATTATCTTCGATATCGATAATTTCGTCGATTTGGAAGGCTGCCCGACTCGGTGAGAGATGCTTGGGAGAGAAGTTCAAAAAGTTTAGGTGCCGATCACGGAAATCGGGCGAAGCTCCGGGTAATTGTATGCAGGAGAATGCTTACATCTCGCATGAAGCTGAGGATGTGGGGGATCATTTGCAAAACGGCAGCCTTGATCTCGTAGTGACCCGAGTTCAGCAAGTATAGGTCGTGAACGATTTCGGACCGGGCCAGAATTTCGTCCAGCACGGCTACGATCTCGGCCCTCTGCAGTTTCTCTGAGACCGCCTGGAATTGAGTGATGTCAGTAAATACAATTACCGTTTGAAAGAGCACTCTGCCTCGGGCTTCTCGGAGAATTAGAAGCGGCCCTTGAAGTTGTTTGAGGAAGATAGAGTCTCACCCTTTGGAAAACCTCGTGAGCTACGGTCCCGACGATCAGGTGCGAATTCGAAGGCTCGATGCGCTTAAATTTCTGATTTAGGAGAGACTTGCGCTTACAATAGAGTCCGGCTGTGATCGTCGTTATAGACAGCAGGTGCTGCGGGTAGAGAACCACAAAGCCACATTGTGAATCTACTTTGCCGAGATTCTCTTGAAACATTCCGAACACGAAGATCTGCGATGAGAGGAGCGAAACTGGAGTTAAGAGACTGGAGAGGGAAGAGAAACTGCAGACTCCGGACGACAAACTTCCGCCCATTCCGATCCACACAGCTCACCTCGGTGTCGAGAGCGGGATTTGTCATTAGCCAACTTCCAGAGAGAAGAACGAATATTCGGCTGGAATCGCTCTCAACATCATCACCAACTACAAGATTCACTCCTTCAGAGTAGGAGCGCTCGAAATCCTTCACTTTCAAACGGACTACTTTGAACGCAGCTGGCCTCGCAGAAACGTCGGGTAACCTTATTCTGGTTTTCTTTTCGGGTGTTGCTATATCGAAGAGATCGTCTTCGTCATCGGAGATCAGTCTTTCAGGGGTTCGACTACCCGCCGGCTCCTGGAAATGTCTTCGGCTTTTTAGAATCTACAATTTAGATGAGAAAACGCGCTGGAGTCGAGTTTAGGTAGTCCAAGAGCTTTGAGATAACTCGCCTCGTCGCGCTTAGTGGATTCGGGCATCCCATTGGCAATCTTCTCGGCAAGCGGGAGCTTGGCTTCCTTCGACGGTGCCTCGGTTGAGACTTTTCCATTGGAGGAGAGTTTCGACTCTTTCATGGCCAGCGTTTTGTTTTCGTTTTTCTTTCTCGGACTCCTCCGCAAAGCACATTCCCCTTTCGCATCGGATTCTGTGATAGCTGCTCCGCTCTGCTCTTTCCGCTTACGAGATGGTGATTTCTGCTTTCCAGCGAGCCCCTCGGTCTTTCGCTGCAAGTCGGAAACCTCTGTCTTCGACCTCCGTGCTGATATCGCCGTCTGTAGCTCTGTGGGTAGGAGGAAGGGGGGTTCCAGACGAATGTTTTTCGATGGGGCCCTCGGATGAAAGCTTCGTCGGATTGGATATACGCTCTGAGTCTCTGAAAAATGCTCTCCGCCCTCTCTCGGAACATCCGAGTCGGGTATCGGGTATGCTGCATGTCTAGACGATTTCGTTGTCAAGCATCGAAAAAGATTTCGGGAGAAGAAGTTCGATTTTCCTGTCGCCTCATCCCCATCACTGTGAGCAAATACGTGCATGGACACCGCCTAGCAAGAATGAATCGTCGACGACGGGGTTCCCGCAAACTTACTCTTGGCAGGGGGACTGTCCTCGATCACAACGATCGAGTGCTTCATCGCGTCTTCGGTGAGCGTGACAGTTTTTTTCGAACTAGGCGACCGTTTCCTCTTGACTGAATCCGATTTCCCCTCCGCTGGGAGTTTCTTGCCAGAACCGGGAGCCGTTCCTGTTCCGAAAAACCTCTCCAACGTCTTCTGTCCCTTCGGAAGAAGTTTCGCAGCTGCCTGTGGGAGGTAGGTGAGAGATGGGTTCGACGACCTGCTCAGCAAATTTGATTGCAGACTCGTCTCCGTAAAATGTAGGTAGAGCAAAACACATCCCCGCCACTGGGTGCTTCATCTTCATCCGAGTGGATTTCCAGGGCAGAACACGGTATTCAGTGAGAAAAAAAAATCGCAGTCCCCGAAGACCTCAGAGAACTTCGCTGAATTGGTCCCTTTCACAGAAGCACATCCTACCGAGGAGAATCCGACCCCGAGAAAGACGGAGCTCGATTTCTTCCCGTGTTCGCCCAAGAAATCGAAGACGCGCAAGTCGACCCGATTGCTGTTACGATTCCGTTTCTGCAGGTGTTCCTAGTCTGATGAGAAATCGCGGGCTCTCATCAAGCTGACCGCGACCGTAATTCCCGCGACCGCGGGAATTACTTGCAGGAACGAGGCTCTCCCCGCTGTTCTATGCAACCGAGATCACGAATGAGGTGTCGCCACGTGTGGGGAAATGACACTCCCTGACAAGTCGATGCGAGCCTCAGATCGGAACTCTCCCAGGTCAACTCTCCGGGTCATCTCACCGTGAGCGTAATCCTTTGTATTCGGCGTAATTATAAGAATCGAAAGCTCTGGTATTAGTGGTGATGACACCGAACTCGTCGGGTTCCTTGCGAGTTTGTCTGAGGTGGTTATGGAATCAGCTGACTGTTGGAATGATGCATAGAGCGGGAGGAAGGTGGGGAATAATTCGTAAGAGAGAGAGGTATCCAGAGTCAGAATCACTCGGGAAAGGATTCCAGATACAGGTATTCCCACCAGGAAACAGGGGAGTAAGTCTCTTGAGAGCATTGGGATATCGGGATACGAGAAAGGGGCAAGACTGTATTCCCCTGATCCGGGAGCTGAGGCTCGATGGAAGTCAAAGACAGAAGTCAATCGAAGCGAAAAAGCGATGTGCTCGTCGATTCTCGAGGGGAACAGGGACACAATCTGTCACTTAAACCGTGCCCTCGATCAGACACTCGAGCTGTCTCGTTAGAGTAACGCAGACTTTCCGGAACGGGGAAACGAGGAGGAGCGCATTCATATCTTCGAAAGTCTCGAGACAGAAAACGTTGAACCTCACGATGCTCTGTATCGAGTTTACGATCGTCTACCCTCCGCTCCTCGATCACCTCGATTTTCGGATCATCTTACCCGCGGTGTCAGTTGTCGGGAAGTATAGCTGGAGGGAGCATAATAATTTACCTGAGCTTTAGACATGATTGCGGTGACCGCAAGTTTCTTGATCATCGGGCGGGAACTTGCGGCGCTCCACTAATGGCACGCACACATCGACTTTCTGGAGCGTGAATCATACCGCTTCCCGATGTGAATTTTCCTCAAATATACTCATAATTGCTAGCTTGGCACTGCTCATGAGAAAAAAAAATTTATTCGCGATGGAGCGCGTCAACTCGCTCACAGCTGACTTACGCGCGCCAATCGCTCCACGCTGATGGGAAACAGAATCGTTCTTGCTCGTGTCTGGGACCCCATTCCGCGCTCCGGCATGGCTACTCGTCTCGGCCACTTCCGGAAGCAAAACTCCGGGCTACGGAGAACCCTAGGCCTTTGTTGGAGGAGTGCCGTACGAGAAGACGGTTGTTGTATGAAGCTTTTCCTGGGCCGAGGGAGAGCAAGCTCTCGGCCGAGGGAGGAATTTTGTTCTGTTCTTCGGTTACTTCTCTCCGGGAACTCTCAGATTCTGGAAGGGGTCGAGGGCTTTAGCGGAGCTTCAACATCCACGCTTATGCCGCCCCCTGATTTCTCGGTAGCCCCCATTGAGCTCGAATTCGAGTCGGATCGGATCGTTTCTGAACCTTAGCACATTTTGCTCGACAAAATACGCGGCCCGAACGGAGATATCGGGGGCAGAATGCTACGCCGATTATTTGTAGATTTCCGCTTCTCTCCGGGACATTTTTCCGGCCAGAGTCCGTTCTCCGTAGTTGAGAGATTGCATAAGTCGAGACAGTCGACAGTCATCCGGCCGAATGGCACAGCTCAGACGGAATCATCCGGACACTCGTTCGGTGTGATTCTCGATCTTATGGGCTGATTCGCGATGCCCAGGAGACAGAACCTTTGGTTTTCTCTTCCGAGAAAGCATCATTGAATCAATCTATTTGTATAGCCTCTGTCAAATTGGCGACATATGCAGCAGCTAGGCGATGTGATCGGCAGAGGCGCACCGGATGGAGCAACCTTTACCGGGCATCATGTGTCCGAGGGCACGAACTTTCCCGATGAGGCGCGATCCTCCGCTGAGGTGAGACGTTTCAACTCACGGCCTCTTTCAGAAAACCTCGCAATCCTTCATCCCAAAGCGATAAGCTGGGAGGAACCGAGAAAAACTCCGAAGGAGGCATCAAATCGAGGTCCAGGCCAGGGCATCGAAGGGGTTCCGACCCGGGCAACATGACCGCCCGCCAACACTCCGCGATTCAATTCGCTTCCTCGAGTTCTGCCGGCTCAATCAAGGCTATTCGTCCTCACGGAGCTCTTCAGAGAGCTTCCATTTCTAAGATCAGACTTATTTCCAAAGCCTTGAAAAGTTTCGGCTCCAGCTGCTCTTCGAGCCGACTCACGATTTTAGCATCCGTATGGATGCAGATCAGTCGCAAAGCAATTTCCAGCTTTCTCCCGAGAATTTCTGGGTCAATGCTCAGAGATTTCCGTGTCGGGATGTCGCGGCCGACGAGATCCGTAACTTCCGCCAATGAATTCCGATTCCCGACTCCATTCATCCAGAGATCCATCGGCCAATCTGTCGATCCGTCTCCACCACAAGACCTCACATTTCTTGATATACATGCTCGCGAGTTAGACGAGTGTGCCCGAAGTGAGATAAGACTGCCTCCATGTTTATTCACTCATTATCGTTTCTCATGATTTGCGAGGTGTGACTCGAATATCTAATTCGCAGATATCTAATTAGTGTGAGGACGATGTCCCTCGAACGGGACCCCTGTGAATTTCCTGAATGATCCCAACGATGAATGCTCTCTGCGCCGAGTGTGATACGCTGGTCGTCATCAGGTCGATCAAGGGTGTCCACACGGCTGGTGGAGATCCAACAGTCCGGGCTGCTCATCCTGATGAATTTCGAAGCAGGGTCCGCAGAAGTACTGCAGACACAAGTAGTGTCTGCATATGGCAGAGCTGATCGCCCTACGGCACCTGCTGCAAAGAACGTCGCTTTCGAAGAATGGTTCCAGCTCCAAATCGCATTCATACTCCATGGTCAACATCTTCAATATTTTGACATTGATTGCCGCGCAGTAAGACTCGCGAGATACGAATTGAACTCTTCCTGAGCCATTCGGGTACCTGAAAAATATGCAGATGACCCATTTCTGCAGTTTTCTGACTTGTCCGCTTTTTCTCATGAAGGAATGGAATATTCAGTAATATTCAGCCTGATTAGATCGATTCACTCGGCGCCCCCAAGGTCACTTACTCGTAATTGTCTGTGTCGATCCTGACGAATCGCACAGGGCCGAATTGTTCTTCCATGATGATCTTCAAGAGCTCCGCCGTGGTCTGCTCATGCAGTGGCCAAACGAAAATCGTGTTTATCCTCGGCGATGTGTTCTCGCGACCCCATTCGATGTCTCGAAGAGCCCATGGGATGACTCGGATCTTCCGATTCGCAATCTGTGGAAATCAACCGCGACTCGATAGGGTTGGAGGGTTCGAGCACGCTCACAATATGGTCGAGAATGGTTGCGAAGTCTGAATGCGACAAGGGAAGCTGACCCGGAAGAGATATTCGCCGGATTCGGTTCTCGAGCATCGCCACAAAAGAAGTTTCACGCAGGCGTCCGATTCTAGAATGACGTACGCGTGCCGGTCTCCCGCGTTCTTTACGACTCGGACGAGGCCGAAGGCTTGGAAACTTCTACCGAGTTTCGCAGGCTCGGTCTCAGGCAGCAAACGGCTGATGAACACCTAGATCATCGATCGGGCGAATTTTCTCTCTGTGAGATGCATTTGCGAAGAGATCACTGGGAATAGATGGGGAATTCGGAGCTAGAAGTATTGGCGTACCTTCCGGGAGAAAACCGTATCCGGAGGATAAGTCCTATACGGCTCACTTTCTCCTGCCGACCACGTCATCCTGGCGGAACGAAGCAACCCGTCTTCTCTCCCATCGCGCTCCGGACGCCTTGAACTCGGTGAATTTCCCCGAGCGGTATCGGAACTATCATCATCCGGCCGGGTACGAGGACGGGCAATGCGTCCGCAAGAGCTCCTCAAAGAATATTGCGCTCCAACAGCCGAAGCTCGTGAGGTATTCGGCGCACCCGGATCTTGTCCGACCGGGGGGCGTGCCGGGCTTCGGGGTAAGACCGATTCCGCAGTTCCGGTAGCTCCCGATCGATCGGTGGATGGACCTGGACGAAAATTTCCTTCCAGACTGGATTGATCTCGAAAATCACTTCGATTCACTGAAGGTGTGAGTCCCTTACCCGTCGAAGTCGGCGTCACAGCGGCGCATGCACGCAGATCGTCTTGGGGTTCTCGACGCGGCTCCGATGGTTGCCGATCTTCTGCATGGTCTGGAGCATCGAAGCGGTGTCCGCGGTGATCCATTGAGAACTTGGGAAGCACGAGCGGGACGGAGGTTCCGCACGAAATTCGGAGTTTGAGTTGGAATTGTCGCGTGCTTCTCTTTTTTATCCTGAGCGCTTCTGGTGGGGACCTCGCTGCTGAGCGATTATGCTCCGAGATACGAACGTTGCTTATCGTAGACTTCTTCCACGAGGCAGGAGAAGGACACCTCAATGTGGAAATGAGGTTTAGTTACACTACAGACATTCTGAGTGATAATGAAGGCTGGGTCTGTGTGGAAATCCGATGAGCGACAATCAGCGCAAGCAATGATGCTGGGGATCAGCGAATGATCGCCGACGAGAAAATGTCGAGATATCATTCTCGGATTGTGCTTGGCAGAGGCTCGCAGAGCTAGCCTTATCCAAAGCCAAGGCAAAATCCAACTACGCTGATCGTTGAATTCGACACTATATCCTCAGGAGCCATCTCCTGGACACTTATTGTCGCGGTTTCGCTACCGTTCTCGATGGCCCCCGCAGCGTTCCCGAGGAGGCTGGATATTCGCCCCGCCACCCGGATTGGCGCTCTAGATGCTATCCCGTGTCTCCATAGTTAGATCCATCCAGGGGAAACGCCGCTGAGAATTGACGCCGAATGAGCGGACAACTTCTGACGCAGCGTCATGTCCCGCAGAAAGCTATCAGTCTTGGAAAATCCCCAGCAGTGGCTCAGGCTCGACAGAAACAACGAATGGATTTCTCTCTCAAGAACAATATTATCTGCGAAGCAGGACCTGGCTGTTGAGAAGTCTCTTCAGAGAGATTCTGATCGAATTCGTACCGAGGATGGGGACAAATCGAACCAAACTTCTCGGATCCGTTCAGCTCGCTCCCCTCTGTGAAGCGCGTGTGATTCTCACGTCGTGGACAGCGGTACATCTCATGACGAGACGGATCTATCCTGGTCCTTATGGTGGCCGAAACTCATGATCCTCATTCGGTATCTGCACGGAGTGTGATGAGGGTGAAATGAGATCGAGATCGATTAGGAATCATAATCATTCTAATGATGAATGCTCCTATAGAGGAACACGCGAAAACATTCTCCTCGGTACGATTTGAACACAATTCTCGCGACGCAATGATGTCCCCTTACATGGGATCGTCCGACTCCGCTCCACACCTCTCGCATCAGAAAGTTTTGTGCTATGCTCCCCAGTCCTACGATAGAATTCTCTGGCATGTCAGGCCCTTATTATCCTCGGATGCCGTGACTGAACATATTTCTCTGGACAGGCATAAGACATTCAGCGGTAGAAATGTTGGAGGATCTGTGAGAAGATCGCTCATTTTCTTCCCAAAGCGCCGATTCGCTCAAAGCCGACCCAGAAGCGGCCCGTATCCTGCGAGGGAGACCTCATGTCAGCATGCTCCATCCCGGAGCCTAGGCGAATTATACACGAACACATATTCTGACTGCCGTAAAGTCTTCTCAGGCGTAGACCTGGGCATGATCAATTGAGCGGAACTCAGACTCCCCGTTCATCGACCCGGAATCTGAGCCCGATCGAGGATTTCGGCGAAGTACACCGTCTGCCACGATTCGTAATGCGTCTGATTCACGCGACAGATTTCGGCAGCGGGTGCGAGTGTCTCATATACATATATGAGAAGCAGCTGACGGATGCAAGTACAGCAAGTTTATTATTTCATTCGAATTGGACTTGACGGTGTCGTTGAGGAGTAGGGACTACAAGCCTCATCGGAGGACAGGAGTCGAGTCGCATGCCTCTGTGCCGATTCGACCCTTGGGTCGACACTCGACTCGGTCGAGCGAAACGGAGAGGTGAGAAGGTATCCGATACTGAGCAGGCCAGGAAATATCAGGAACTAGGAGTCCTTGAGTTTCGGATCGACTCTTGAAGCGAAGGAGACGCTGCGAGCGATTGACCCTGGGCTGTCCGTCCGCGCGTTAAAGAAGCCCGATGGGTTTGTGCAAGTCCCGATTTTCGGATTGCTGGTTCTGATGTATTCTGTGACAAGCTCTGCAGAAGTACTGTAGACACAGATAATGTCTGCAAATGACAGAGCTCATGGATCCACAGCGTCTGCTACACGGAATATTTTTCTCGAAAAACGGTTCCAGCTGTATGTTGCGCTCGTAATCCTTGGTCACGACCCTCAGTATATTGACGTTTATAGCTGCGCAGTACGATTCGTGGAATACGAATTGGACCCTGGCGGAGCCGTTCGGGTAGCTGCAAGAGATTCGGATGCTTTAACTTCGCTTCACACAGCATCTGTAGCTCCCCTCGCTCTCACTCCGTACTCCGGAGACTACGACGGGGAGTCGGATTCTCACACGGATTCGACTTCAGAATTGAATCAACCCACTTGTAGCTGTCGGTGTCGATCTTCACGAACCGCACTTGGCCGAATCTATCCTCCATGATGATCTTCACGTGCTCCGCCGTCGTTTGTCCGTGCAGTGCCCCCACGAAAATGGTGTTGGTTCTCGGCGACGTGAATTCCGTCCCCCATTCACTATCCTGTTCCGCCCACGGAATGACTTGGGTCGCCCGGCCAACGATCTACTCGGAAGAATATGTTTCCAGAAATTCAGTGATGGAACGCTTTGCCCGAATTGAATTAATCATGATTGTTATGTTTCCTCATCGTTCGTGCGGAGGAAGAACCTCACCGAGAAGTAGAAGTCGCCGGATACCGATCTCTGACACCTCGACAAGAGGCTTTTCACGTGGTCGTTAGATTCTAGGATTATATACGCGTGACCCTTCCCCGGTTTCTTAATTGCTCTCACGGAGCCGCATCCTTGGAAACTCTGTACCAGTTTCGCCGAGTCAAAATCAGGGGGCAAGCCACCGATGAAGACCTGAGAAAAGGATCGGGTTACCTTGGATATCCATCATTCTTAGAAACCAGGAGGAACAGAAGAACGTTTCAGCGGGAAAGTTTAGTCACCTTTCGGGAATAGGTCGCATCCTGATGATGTCTTCTTGGGAGCTGGTAGCCTCTCTCCGACCACGTCATCGCTGCCCTGCGGAGCGACGCGTCCCTCTTTCTATCGCGTTCGGGCCGCGAGACATCCCATTGCTCTGCCCCGGGCCAATTGAAGAGATTACCTTGCGATGAGGTGAGGGGCCGATAGTCTCGCCAGGACGCGCTCCCCAGATAGTAATAGGGCATGGATAGAGGAACATTCTGGGGTCGAGGCGTTCCGAGCGGACCGGGGTAATAGCCGGGCGGGAGTACCACCGGACTCCGGAACGAGAACGAACTTGCGGCTCTCGCAGTCCCGGGCGGATTATCAGGCGGTGCTGTGGACCGGCGAAATTCTCACTCGTGGAAACAGGCTCATGCAGATGATCTATTAGCCATGGAAATTCCGTTCATGGAAATATCTTACACGTCGATCTCGGTCTTTCGGCGGCGGACGCGCGAAGTTGTCCCTCGGGTTCCTGTCGTCGATCAGGAACTTGCCGATCGTGAGAATCCTCATCCTCGTCGTACGCGTGACCACCACGATCCATAGCGAGCGCGAAAATCGATCACGAGTTCTATAACGAGTGTCTCGCACAAAGTCCGGGGTTCTAGTAAAGATCGTCGCGAGCCTCCACAAGTTTTATCCTTTGTGCGATAGATGGATCAGCTCGCGAACGAGCTTTCCCGAGATGCGAACATTCCTTATCTAAGCGATGCTGAGGGAGCAAGACGAGAACACCTAGATGTTGGAACGACTTGTGGCTAAGATGGATATGCTGCGCGTGATAGTTCGCACTTGGTTTGTAATGTGGTGCTCCGATGACCGGCAATCATCGCGAGGAATGAGTTCTCGCATGACGTACCGTTCCGGGGTGACGAGATGACATTTGCTGAAAGCTGGTAATAAAACTTAGATCAATCGCCGCGGTTCTCAATCGAAACAGATATTCTAGCTCCGATGAGAATGGGGAATATTTTCTGAAATAATTTCCCGAGATTCGATCTCCCCTCCCAGGTTGAAGCGCGTAGCCTCCGTGACGGCGAGAGCTTGGTGAATCGGTGCACACAATCGCATTGATCTTTGAGAAATTCCGGAGAAATTATCCAGTTTTGCTTATCTGTGAGAAGTCCAATCAATCGAAATGAAAGGAGACGGCTGCGCTTCTCCGGAGCGCCTGGCGTCAACGAGCATGCGTTCATTCGCTTCCCTCACTCCTCTAAATCTCCGCCGCGGCCACTCGACGATCACAATTTAGAACGATCCAGTCAGAGTACGACTTCTCATCGGCTTCACTGCTGCCTCCTGTGGCTGTGTCCGTCTTCTGTTATGTTTTCACTCAGAGAATTTATGCTGTGAAATTATGTGCTGAGTGACATCTAGACCATATCCCAAGCGACTGCGGAGAATGGAAACGAGCGGCAATCACAGATCGGACGGAGATGATGGCGACACGACGTCACTCTCGGAGGACTACTACAGTCGGAGCGTGGATTTCAGAGGTGACAGAGTCCCAGGTGAGATATCGAAGGATCATTCCCCAACGTCGCAGGCGGCGTCTTTCAGGAAACTCGAAGTCCGGCTTGAGCCGGAAACTTGTGAAGTTGAATTCAGTTGGAGAAACTCGGAGGATCACGTTCCATGGAGTCAGCTGATCGGCGTAAATCCTAGCCATGCTTGGTGGAGGATTATTTGTCGGCGTGATAAGAGACCTAGATTCTCGATATAACTCCAGAGGGGGATTGCAGTCAGCGCGGATCGCTCTCCAGGGAGCAGCTCCTGGTTACTTATGTGTAGATGAGCTTCTGCTCGAGAAAATTTCGGTCAGCATTGAGGATGGCCCGGGACTTCTCCGGAATGAAAATCGCATGATATCGACATCTGCGTTCAGACCTCGGTGTGATATGCAAGTTCGCAGCTCCAGGCCATCTGCTGGCTTCCGTTTTCTTCGTCGACGACCAAAGAATTTCTCGAGACAGGAAGCGAGTTCATGATCTGATACTGACGATGAGAGCTTAATTCGTAGAGCGTATCCGCCTCATGTCTGCCTTCCTTTCGGAGGATCGAAATCAGAGCTCGGAAATGAGGGAGGAACATGGATATTTTCTTATGAGTCTCGCGCTGAGGGATATGGCCAAGCTCTCGCTCTCCTAGCTCTATCGATTGGAATCCGAGAGTCATTGACAAGTCTCCCTTAGCAGACAGAGTCAAATTATTTCCCTGGCTCCCGAGGAACGAAATAGATCCTAAGAGGAGGGAAGCTCCAGCAGGAATCGTTGCCGTACGCTATACCGGGTCGCCGAGCTCCCGCGCGAAGCGTCGGGGGCTGACCCCCATTTCTTTTTGCGGAAGAAGAATCCTCGGAAGAATATCCTCGATGTCCATGACACTGCGAGGCATCTCCTGTTATCGTAGCCCTTCCATGACGCTAATGAAACTTCATTGATTTCAGTCGCTCTGTTCAACCGGCTGCAGAGGAAGAGGAATCTGGCATGTGCTTCCATCCTCTTCACGGTGTTCGCGGAGAGAGTTGCCTTTTACGCCTTGTCCGGTCAGTACGGCAATCGGTCGCAGAAAAAGTTGATTCCGGGAGGAAAGCTCTCGAATTTATTTTCAATGAACAACCGGAGGAGCAAGCAGAATGATTTTTGTTCCCATTCCATTTAAAGGCAATTTGTATCTCTTCCTAAATCACCATCCCTTGGCATGGACATCGACCAGTGCAATGACAGCACTTTTAGTTTTCACGGGGACTGCCTTCGTCGGCGCCTTCCTCACGGGTTACCTCGGAGATGCCCTGGGTCGTTTCAGGATAATTTTGGTTCGTGAATTCATCGAGTAGGACTACCCAATCTGAATTCTCGGTTCGATCCCCGAATACTCACCGGGTCATGCTGATCTTATCGAATCGCATATGGATTCTTCCAGGTGTCTCTTCTCGTCTACATAGTTGGACTGATTGCGTTCGTCGCAATAGCTCAATACCAGAACGGTAGAGGGGGCGATTTCATCGGACTGTGTCATATAAAGAACCGAACCAACATCTTAGCTTCTTCGAGCTTACTATCCTCGCTTTACCCACAAACGGAATCGGAAGCATCCTCGCACGGCAGAGGCGCGACTATGCAGTGTGGAGCCACGATATATGTTCTACTTGTGATAACAGGACTCGCGTCGAGCGGGATCAAAGCTAACGTGGTACCTTTCGGAGCTGAACAGGTACCGCACGGAAAAAGTTTGGGAAGAGAAATCATGTATCTTATCATTATTGCTCATGGATCGAGTCTTAAACTCGATCTCACGGCATTCTCACCCTTTTCCCCGTCGCTTCCAGGTCAAACAGGAGAATCGCATGGCTGTCCGACGCTACTTCACCATCTACTATTGGGTTGTCAATATAGCTGCCTTCCTGTCGATCCTTATACTGTCGTACATCCAACAAAGCACGTCAGGCGGTTTCGGTTTGGGATACATCATCCCGACCGTCATCCTCGTCCTTGCTTTCTTCCTGTTCTGGATTTCGAAAGGCTTATTCGTGCAAGAACAGCCCGAACCTCCTATTCTGTACAACATTTTCCAGGTATGCAGACTTATTGAATAATTTCTCAGCGTCAGGTTGCGAGCCCGAGGCTCTGGGAATTGAATCATCTCTCTCGGGGAGCGAGGGATAGTCTCGCTCCCGACGAACTCGAACAAATACTTTATGATGCGAACACGTGCTCTCTCTCGACAGGTTCTGGTCGAGGCTTGGCAGCAGAATCGTGTGCATCAGAGACCCCCCAACCGTCAATGGTTGGATGCGGCGAAGATTGAGTTCGGTGGACGTTTCGATAACGAACTCGTAGAAGATGTGAAACAGCTGAAATTCGTGCTCGGAGTCTTCGCGCTGCTCATACCTTACTGGGTGGTGTATTTCCAGATGCAGACGAGTTTCCAGGTGAGCTTGCGTTGCAGGTTAGCGCAAGCCCTGCGCAGATATTCGTATTCTGTCGAGTAGGAGCATGTAAAACGTATTCGAATTCCAGGAACAAGGGCTGCACATGCGGCTGCTGCCATCGTCGATGTTCGCCCCGATCAACCAGTCTGATGCATTCACGGTAAGGCTCGAACCTGAACCTCGGGGACTCGGGCCCTAGCTCGAGCATTATCATCATTCATACGGAGGATGCAAGATCTTCTGATGCTGCCCTCTCTGTCACGGAACCCGAAAGGATTCGCGATCAAGTCGACCCGTATACTCTTGCAGATCCCAGCCGCTTGGTTGACTCTGTTCAACGTGATGTTCGTCATCTTGTTTGTACCAGTCTTTGAGAAATGCATCTATCCGTCCTTGGAAAGTCGACAGAGCAGCCCGTCCATCAACTTGCGAATGTTCCTCGGTCTCCTCTGCGCAGTGTTAGCCATGCTATGCGCGGGAGGGGTCGAAGTCAAGCGACTCGAATTAGTTCATGAGAATCGAACAATTGTTCAGGTATGTTAGGATCCGACCGTCTAAGAGCTTTCACAAACATTCTCGATTGGGCAAGGATTCCGATGCCGAAAACTGACGATTCATCTTTACTCGCACAGATAATCGATAAAACCGACTACGTTGCCGCAGACATGTGGGTCTTCTGGCAGATACCCTCCTACTTCTTTGTGGGTCTGTCGGAGATTCTCGCATCGATATCAGGCGTTGAATTAGCTTATAGCCACGCACCGGTTTCTATGCAAGGCATCGTGATGGGATTGTTCTACCTTTCAACGGGTAAGGCAGGAGCGAGGGTAGTTTCCTCGGACGATCTATCGGTATATTCTCCTCGAGCTCCCGTTAGAAAAACATGCTCCCCTTCCAGGAATCGGCTGTTTCGCGGGTTCGCTTCTGCTCTCGCTGGTCTCGCCGTACTGGTTGAACTCGAGTCCGAACACCTCGAGACTAGATCTCTTCTTTTGGCTCCTCGCTGGAATTCAGCTGGTGTCGTCCATCCTCTTCTTCCTCTGTGTCGTGCGGAGGAGCCGCAATCTTTTCATCAATACTTATGCATCGATTCAGTGAAAAGCTCCTCTGAGCGCCGCAGGAATTGTACACGCAGCTTCGAAACCGAGTCGGGGAGGCGTATTGAGTCCCATCGCGTAAGCCAGATCATCGGAGTTCCAACATAACGTGTGTAGAAGATCTAGAAGCCCCGACAGAAGTCCGAAAGACTGAAAGCCCCTCCAAAGTGCCGGGACAGCGCCCCGACACGTTGAAATATGTAGTCTACCTACCGAATGCCATAATTTTACAGCGAAACCTTGTACTTGAAACCGTGAAGACTTCTGAGCGGCTCGAGGGGGTAAACTTTTAGCAGAGTGAGATCAATTCGCACAAAAGACACAGTGTTGTCCCCGGAGGAATCTTCCGGCATCGCCCAGAAGAATCATCGTCCACCTAAGTACATATATCGAAATGCCATCGGCGACCGAGCTTTGAAAGGCGACATGGAAAGACATTCCCTATGCTCGATTATCCCATCGGGTCCGCCAAGGGCGGACTCGTATCGTTACTCGTATCGTTGTTTGGGATCTCCGGAAATGAATGTTACAACGATCCCTGAGGCAATCCCAAAGATTGAGTGATCGCTCCGAATCATAGATACAAGAGAAGTCTATGGAGAGGACTGCGGAACGAACTTTCCGATGTAATAAAGTTTTTACATCAATTATATAGGAGCGAGTTGCTCTGGGAGTCTATCTGACAAGTTCATTCTTGACCAGGCGTCAGGACTCACTCAGTCAGATGCCCTCTATTGAGAAAAACATCAGGAATTGACCAGTGAAAGCGCAGGTTGTTGGCTCGCGAGAACTTGCGAGGGCTCGCGGGGACCGGGGACGCTTCTCAGTCACGAAACCAAGGCGTCCGGGCGTCAGAGCCAACCGCCATTTCCAAAGATGCAACTGAGTGACAGCTGACGTGGAGATCGTTGTGGGAGTGAGCGTAGCCTCGACCACGTGGTCGTGACGGTTGCCATCGCTCTACTCATCAACAACACCATCCTCCGGAGAGCGTGGGAAAATTCCAAGGTCTCTCCCAGAAGTCGGTGATAACAACCTGTGTTTGAACGCTGAAGGTGTGAGCTGTCTTTGAAGGTCGCAGCAAACTTTCTCTGACGTATTTCCCATCGGAAACTAGCAGTCGATTTTGGAACAATTAGGTACATCTACAGTCAAACCTAGAGTCACGAACGTGATCCGTTCTGGAGTATCGTTCCCAGATCGAGAAGTTTGTGGGTCGAAACGGAGCTTCTATCTCGAGCTCATGCTGACTCGAGCTTTTCCCTCGAGCAGCATCGGACTCCGTCGCAAAACTCCATCGGATGCATAGTCGAGCCATTCGCGCTAAATCTCCTCGAGGTGCTTGATTGGATCACAGCATGCCATCGGTAGCTTCGGCTGGAAAGTCCTTCTCTCAGGATTCTCTGGGGAGATGTTTCGACCGGCAGGAGGAACCAATTTGATAAAGCTAGGCAAGCCTCCCCTGTCGAGAGGTCCACAAGGAAGATCTACTCGGTCGAGATTCGATGCGAGGAATGGTACAGGTACCTACTTTGCGCAATCGGTCGTGAGCATCGGTCTCAGATTATTCTCCTAGGTATCTTTAGGGGAACATTCGCCTCGGTCGAAGGTCCCTCTTCTGAAACATCACGAAGATCATCCGCACCTCTCCCATATGATTTGACAGGCGTCATTCAGTGAGCGATCGACTGAATGCCGTCGACATTCGAACCTCCGCGCTTTTTCCAGCAGCCAAAGGGCGCTGAACGACAGCCCGTTTTCCTCTCCCTGAATTCGTCTGCTAGCTCCCACCCCGACGACGATCATCAGACAATCCGACTGCTAGGCCGCGACCCTCGAAGGGAGACCGGCTCATGGTGGAAAAGTTTCATGAGTAGTTGCAAGCGGGACAATCACTTCGGGTGAGTATAATATTTATGAGGAAGTCCAGGAAGATCGCTTTCCGAATTGTGAGCGAGCCCTCGCTGTTTGTCATCGACACCAACTTTCTCCTTGCTCAGCTCGAGCGCGGCAGCTTTCTGTAGATAGTTCTGATAACGATTGATCGTGACAAGCGGGAATAACCGAGAATCGCGATAAAGATGAAATTGTCGAAAATCACTCCCCGGATCATTACCCAGTCACCAGAAGAGCTGAGGCGCAGCCTCTTGCCTGAATAACATGGATGACTGCCACGATATAGATGAACCTTCTTTGGGGGCAAAATTGATTTTCCTCCATTCGCCCTCCACACTGTTTTCGAAAATTGAGATCCTTGCTGCTGGTCAGAAGAACCCATCTCATTTTCTACCGAGGGTGGAGATTCCTTCTTTGTGAGCTTTGAGCATATAATTCGCAGTATTCCGGTGACTTCGAAGCTCGAGGAGTCGGAGCAACTTCCTCGTCGGAAATCCGAAGTTCTAGCTGCTCGGCTCGCTCTCGAGAGGAATGAAAAACCGCCTCCGCGGCTCGTATCGCGCAGAGAATCGTTCTCTGAAGACGAGCATAGATAGTGCGTGCATCGTTTTGTATCGTTATTGCCCCGTATAATCAGTCCTGGATCCTTTTCATTCAAATTGTTTGGAGAACGAAGTGTAGGACGGTCCACATTCCGAGATCCACGACGCGGAGTTCCAGATGTGAGTTTTGCTACATTTTCCACATTTGATGGCGACCACGAGATCTGCGGGTGAGTTCCGGGGAAGAGGAACCTTCATCTTGATGTTGAATCCAAAGAGCTGTAGAGAAATTAGACCACTGATTAGGATTTGCACAGCCATCCGGATCGCATCGGTGGAGCAATTCGATCGCATGGGAACCCGTAGTCAATGTCCGGAAAATGGATGAAAAGAAGGTACTCAATGCTCATGGGGGAGACATTAATGTCATCCGAGAAGAATATTTTGCTCGTGGCAAGTCCAAACTGGAGCCAAATCGACTCCTCAGAGGAGATTCTCTCGGAGATTCTTTTTCACTTCGCGCTCCTCCTGAGAGGGTGCGAAGGGAATGCGGTGGCTTGGGCCGCATCATCTTTCGACCGTCGCCCTGGACGGTTCAGAGTATATTTTCCGATGCCGGGAAATGACTTTCTTTCCGGGTCGAACCAAGATCTCCGAGGCCCTAAATGGGATGCAAAAATCGAATGGCCCTATGCTAGCGCTCGCTCCGGAATCGCTGCTGTTTCCACGGTTTTTCCTTAGCGGAGATCTTCGGCGGCGACAGCCCGTCCATTTCCATCCATGACTATCAGCGCGCTGAGTTCCTCTAACGCAGGAGTTACTGGTGCGCGGTCGTTCACAGTGCACACCTATGTGGGCTAGTCCCAGTTCTGGGTTTCCACCCTCTCTTATGGTGTCTATGCTCAAGTACCCTAAGCTAGGCAGGCAGCAGTTAGAGTCTCCTCCGCATCCGAGCCAACAGTTTCGCTGGATACGAGGTTAGTTGTGGTGGTTTACCGTTATTATCTAACCTCTTCAACGGGTGTTAATGCAGCACGATCTCCCTCCGACTGGGTATCGTTCGAGGACGGGAGTCGGCGTTCTATCTATCGCGAGACCCGCCCGACGATGAGCCTCGGAAAATTCCTCTACCGAAGTGCAGTCACGGATCCAGTGATATCGGAGAGATCTTATGGGATCTGACGTACGAGCCGAACTCAGGGTCGAAGCCATGGAGTTGATCTTTTAACTTGAATCTTAATCGGTTCGCGCCCCTATAAGAATGGGGCAACTTACTCAGCGATCTAATTGATATTTTGGCGGCGCGGCCCATCCCCGTCAGATTCGCGAGGAATGATACTTTCCGCTTTGAGTGAAGTCGTCGAGTCCGGTTAGGTCTATGTTTGTCCTCGATTTCGCTTTCTTCCACATCGGTCGAGGCGCTCAGGGCGTGGACCCTTTCAAGCTAGACCTGTGCGTCATCCCCGAGTCTCTCTGTCGGCCTAAGTCAGAGCGTCGTTGTAGCTACGAGCCTAGATCAGGCCTCTCTGGTTATGGTGCCCGCTAATATTTCACACAGCCCCGAAGCGCATAAACAAATCCCTCGTGCTCGTGTCGTCGTCGTGGAATCAGTATCGTTCGCAGCATTCTCAATAGAAGCTGAAAAAATAGATCTCAAGTAACTTTCGTAGTTTCGACTTGCAGATTTCGTTTCGGATTGAGCTCGGTCCGGACACATTCTCAGCTGGGCGCATCCGACCGCAGAGCGCATCCTCCCACCCCACTCGTCTAGAAACGCACACTAAGACAAGCAAGCCCGTTTAGAAAATGGCATCCGGAGTATCTGTTTCGACCGAGTCTAAACAAGTTTACGACGACGTCAAGAAAAACAAACTCCATCGGTACGTCATATACTGCATCAAGGATGAAAGGGAGATCGGCGTCGAGATCAAAGGAGATCGAAACGCGTCGTACCAGGACTTCTTGACACAAATGAAAGAGCTCAAAGACCAGTGCAGGTATTGCTTGTTCGATTTTCCCGCCGAAGCTCCCCAAGAAGGAACCAACGAGCCCTCGAAGATTGCGCTCGATCGTCTCGTGCTGATGACCTGGTGTCCGGAAGGTGCGCGCGTAAAACAGAAGATGTTATACGCCTCCTCGTACGACGCGCTGAAGAAATCGCTTGTCGGAGTGTACAAATACGTGCAAGCGTGCGATTTTGAGGAGTTGTCGCAGGAGGCCATCGAAGAAGCACTGAAGAAAAAGTGATGCAAGCTCTTGTCAAAGCGTCCAGTCATCCTTAAACGGAACAGCAAACGTACAAGCCCACCAATCGAGTGTCTCTGATACCGTTGGCAGCGTGAGGAAAGCATCCAACGTCGAGAGATTCAAAAACGTGGTGGCGATAACTTAAGGTTGTTCGAAAAAAGAAGACGGAGTCGTACTACTCAAGATTGATATCGCCCATTAGACATCAAATACCAATAAACAGAGATGGTTGAACGTGTCTCTTGAAGCATTATTATCGGAAGTTTTCTATCACTCCATGCCATCTCGTCCTGTTTCAATTCTGAGTTTATTTGAGCCTCCGATGATTGTCGAGAGTTCACAATTCACAACCGCTCCGGGTATATTCATCTATTCTCGACACTCGATCAATCAATGAGGTGTCGACAATGATTGCGGGAAGCTGCGGGGCTCGATCCCCGTATATTCACGGGTTTGATATTCTTAAACACAATTTGTTTCGAAAAGATAGAAGTTTGCTTTATTGTCGCCTTCGCGGGCGAAGACGAAGATCTCCGCTCACAGTTCCTCCCCGACCCTCGCTACCCTCTCTCGTTTTCATAACAATATCCTCCTTGACGGAGGTTTTAACGGTATTGGTCAATGATTCGCGGCACAGCTGTGGGCTCGGAGTCTGCCTTGATAGGACCCCCGGAGAGCACACCGTGGAGGGATCGATAGGACGTCCAGTGAAATTGAGCTTGCGAGCTCTCAACGCGAGGCATAGAGAATTAAGAGTAGGGTACATATCCCGATAATGACTCCCAAGATGATCGAGTCGCGTCGCTTCCGTATGTGTATCCGCTGGAAGAAATTATATCATAGGTCTTTTGGTATTCCATTTGCGCCCATTGAGGCAATAGAGGGAGGGAGGAGGCGATTGTAGAGATCTCCGAGCGGGATGGATCTCGGGGGATTTCTCGGCACCGTCCTACTACTCGATCCCAGATAGGCCTTACCTGGAGCAATGAGTTCAGCATGGGAAATCTATTCGCCAAGGTCGTCATGCGGGTCTGTATAGCTTTCAGAGTTGTACGCTGATTGCGGAGTTCTTCCCGGGTCCGGATCGCAATATTTATCTGATCGCCGATTAAACGTTCGGAACTGTGAAGGGCAGGCCATGAGTTCTAGAACTTGGACGCTTCCTCCGCGACCTCACGTCGCAAACCAACGAAAATTCGATACATCGGAACGAAGGATAGGAAATCAGCTTACTTCTGTATGTGATCGTGCTCTTTAAGGAACATGTCGGATCGTCTGTTGAGGCTGCTCTTATTTAAGTTGTCACCAGCAGCTCGCGTGGAGCCGCCGAGAAGCTCATCGCGTTGTCGCCGGCTTTCGATATTATTTCGTGTTTTGCTGAACTCTGCGGAGACGGGAATAGTATATCAGAATTGACTCAGAACAAATTCAGGAAGAATCATTTCCCAGAGCTGATCGTGAATGCCGTAAGCGCGAATCTTCCAACCTGCGGTGTAATCTTTCAAGATATCTCGATGTCTCTGCAGTGTGTGTTGGCGTGAGGCACCACCGCCGTCGCTCTGAATCATTTCATCGTTGACTTGCTGCAGCTGCGGGAAATGTGAAAACGGATTCAACTCGGCGTTTAAAACCCAAGATGCTCAAATGATTTATTTGATCACCCGGACCTTCCCGGGATCCATCGAATGCAATGCTCACCAAACCGAGGAGGTGCTCGATTTCTTCCGTCATGGAATCAACCACATGTCCCGATGCGGAGCTGCTCAATAACGGGACCGTGTCACTGCTGCAAGAAGAATTTCGAGTCAATGGGTGTTTTTGTTCGGGCCGTCTAGTAATGGTCATTGGATGGCATTAGATTGTACGGATCGATTCGTTCGCCAACTCACTTTTCGTGCGTGAAATCTCGGGAACCGAGCGAGGTGCCCACTTTACTGAAGGAGACAAGCTTGAGATCGATTTCGTTCTCCAGGTGACGCGCTTGTTTGCGGAGCTCTGTAATTAAGGATAAAGCTTTTTATCTCATACCGGCTCCTCAAGCTGGACGTGGTTGACGCGGCTTGAATCATTTCAGTTTCGATAGTTTCGTGGCTCGCTTCCCCTGGGAATGTGATTTCGCCCCGAACAGGGAGTATGGCCGAGGATGAAAAATTTTGCGGTTGACGCCGGCCACGGCAGATGGCTCATAGATTTGCGACTCTCTAAAAGAGTTCCACAGCTCGAATCCCTTGTCAATCTGCGTCAGGTGCTCTGACGGTACGCTCCGAGCTCTTCTGACTTCCGAGAATGAGGTCTGACGAACCCCCCCGGATATATCTTGGTGGGTCGACTCCGCTCGAGGGACAACTGTCCAGGAGACTCGGCGACAGTCCCGGGAACTTGTTCCGCGAGCTGCACCATTGAGGCACAGCTGTTCTGCGGAACAACGTTGGAGGATGCGTCAATGAGTGACAGAGAAAAGAATCGAAAGTATAAGTTCGATTTACCTTCCCAGCCTAACATATTTAAAGCTGCGCGTACAACTCGATAAATTCAACAGATCACACCAAGTCGGAATTCGCCGCACTGTGGAGCGGCATAAGAATTCCTCCGCTCGACACGGCACCAGGAGAACTTTTGGTCCGGTGTCTGTGTCTAAGTAGTCGCTCACTCCGAAAAGCGACGAGAACAACATGCTCTCTCCGAATTTCCACGACGATTTCGTCTCTTGTTGACAAACAAGCAGCAGACGCTTTTGGCGGTTGTTCGAAAATTTTTGGGAGAATTTCATCAGATTAAAATACTACAAATCCGATTTATTCGTTAAAATATATGACAAGATTCAGTGTTCCTCGATCCGTTCATTGAATCGGACCTGACGTTCTGAATGGATCATCTGCAGATGGAAGTAATATTTAAACTCGATCCCGCGGACGTTTGCACCATCGCGTATGGGCGGGCTCCCGCAGCGGCGGCAGTTGGTGCTTGTACTCGGAGTACGAAGTTGGTGTGCCGACTATCCTGAAGAAACTCGCGATTTTCCCCCGCCATGTCGCCCAAAAGGACACTGAAGAAGATGAAGTCGTCCCTGTCTGTGTCTACGTTGAAAGAGAAAACTCGCCGAGGTTCGTGTGTCAAGTATTTCACGCCTGTATTATCTTCCCGTCGCTCGTCGAAAGTCCGAAGCTTCTGTGACTGAGCTATCGAAGGCTCCACGGCGAGAGGTTCCTGACATTTACTCTCTTATCTAGCTCTCTCTGCGCTGACGGCATCGTGAGATTCCCAGGCAGTCTTTGAGCTGTGATTTCGAATTACGATGAAGAGATTCTCACGGAAATCCAGTATCTCAATTCTCCGAGAGATATCGGGGCAGCTGAGAGTCCTCAAGCGGGGAGCTCATCGCGATACGTCAATATTGTTTTTCTGTCCTACAACTTCCATCTCGTTTTTCTGCCATGCTTGAGCGTTGGTGATGCTTGATCCGGTTGCGTATATTGACCGTTGGCCACAGGGAAAAATGGCTTCTGATGCGCCAACGGGCGTGATGGCGGCGTACGTGGTGGTACAATAATGCTGCCGACCGATTCGTTGGACTGCTTCGAAATTCAGGGCTTGGAGCTCGGCGAGTCCAGAGCATGGGAAAGCCTTACTGAGATACGGAAATCCTCAAAAAGAAGAACTGTATGAGGATCAGAACGTTCTCGACTTGCGACAGTTGTAACACTTCCGTTCGAAATGGATGGCTCCTGTTTTCCCATAGCGTGGTCGCGGAAGCCTTCGCACGAGCTCATGATTTCGAAACTTGGCGTCGCCACTCGAAGATCGGCGCGGACTAAATATGAGCATACGTTAACTTGCAGGTCTGAAGCGGCTCACGAGTAGGGGCGTCGTCAAAAGTGGATCCCCGACTACCGCTGCGTCAACCGCGAAGTCTTACAGTCCTGCTGTCAGGGTGAGTTCCAATCATCGTGGCCGCGCGACTCTGACAACTCTGTACGCTCCGAGATGCGGACGAGACACATCCTTTGACTGCGGAATCGTGTACCTCAACGATTTCTCCTTCTCCTAGAATCCCCGTGCCCGCAGTGACGAGAACACCCCAGTCCGGTCGAATGTCAGAAAGACGAAACCCAGGAGCGCGAGAAAATCAAACGACAGAACTCCGAATCCCAAGGAAACCGAATCGCCGGCTAGAATCCGCATGGCGAGGCGCAGAGTGCCGGTTTCTATGGCGTCCGCTCTTCAAGAGGTCAGTGTTTCGATTGATGCAGCAGCGGGTGGAGAACCTCAATGTTCTCCGCATTTTGAAGGAAGACCGAGTTTGAGACCCCGGAGACCAGGATCTTGACCGACAGCGATGAACCCAACAGCGAATTTCTTGGTTGACAGGTGAAGGGCAATCTCACGAAAGCGGTCGAAAACGTGTCCACCAAGCTGAAGATGACGAGACGCCGAAGCGTTCGCAAGACTCTCTACGACCCTCTTGTAGGCGACACGCCGGTGAAAATGTATTCGCCATTCTCTATCGAAACTCCGGACAGCGTCCAGGGCAAACGTGCGGCTCGGTCAAGCCGGCGTTCGGCTGGGAACACGCCGAACTTTAAGAAGGGCACCCAAACAACTCGAAAGTAAGGCCGCGAAGTTTTTCTCGGCTTCCGCGACGCTCTCTGGCATGACTCTCTAACATTGAGGGTCAATGACGACTTCCATTAATCTTGAGAGGTTTGAAAGTATTTAAAAGACGTCATACTTCCAGGCTCCTGCTGGATACTCCCACTGGAAAGTTCCGCCAGGATCTTGAAGACGTCACGCGTGGCTTCGAAGAACTCAATTCGGTTACCCGTAGTATCCGAGACCGTTCTCGACAAGAGCACAATCAATTCTGAGGCATCTTTGCGACTCTCTCGCGGCAGCTCGCGACAAATCGTCTCCGGAAAGATCTGTACATCCAGCCGGACCGGGGCACAACTTTATCTCTAATATAAACTCGGCATTCGTTTCGACGGTCCTTAGGAACTGGGCCTACGATCATGAGCCGAGCTCTACCAGCACCCAGGCGCTAGCCCCGTTCTGCTATGCTGCCGAGGATCCGTAGGAATTCGAAAGACTGTATTTGTCATCTGCGAAACAAGCGATTTCGTGATTGATTCAGCTCGCCGGGCAGGGTAAACTCATCAGAGGAGGATTAACTTCGAATACACATTCTCGCTCGGGAAAGTAAACCGGTTTTCAACAGTATGCAACGAACAATACAAAAAATGCAACATGACGCGGAAGGGGGAATCATGTGGAACTCGAATTTGAACGTATTCGCGATCCATTGAGACAGCTGCATACAGCAGCTCACGATCCACCCGGACCCGAATTTCCTACTGCACCTTTACATTAACCCTCCGATTCTTAGATTATGTCTAATGAAGTGAATACATGCGGAAAATCCAAAGGGCACGCTGTGCCGAGAATAAATTTGACTCACACAGGAAAGACTAGCCTTCGATCATCGACCTCGTTACGCATGAACAATCCTCGCCCCTTAGGTAATCGGCGGACTCGATGTCGTACGCTTACATCGCTTGCTCCCGTCGATTCCGATGGATTGTTAAGTGAGCCCAACAGAAGCAGACTTCGCCCACTCAGCCATAATGGAGAGCATCCCCGGTTCGCGGTGGGATTCCTCGGAAACTAGCTGGCTCCCGGATTCAACCTGGCGAATTCGAAATTCGTGGGGAAAGATCGAGACCGCTGTGCTGTGACTCGGTATCCTCACGGTACTTTTCCTGGGAACTCGGTATTTTCTTAATCATTCTGAGCCGCAATACAAGGTCGAATATCGGCGAAATTCCGTGCTGGGAGCGATCAGATCTTCCGAGCCCATGAGACGGTCCCAGACGGGCCTGAGTCCGATGATAATATCTAAACGAACTCGTTTCTGCCTCTCCCGCGGTAGAAGTACAAGGCAATCTGTGCTCTCAATTCATTTCGGTTGGTCCATGCCGACCGGACTTTCGGCTCGCTTCCGGCACGAGGAAATAACGGTCGTTGTCGGAAACTGGCAGCGTGTGACGGACTATTCTCCCACATAAATGGCGCCGGTGGCATTTTCTGAAGCCATGGGAGCTTCTGGATGGACCCTCATAGGCATTCTCTCGTCTCCCGCAGAGCTTGACATATCGGAACTTCAAGATTCCCTCCCCTCGATTTCCAGGCAGCACAAGCCTATTCTTCAAGCCTCTCGTCAGAGGAAGATCATCCCATAGCCCCAAGTCCTAGACCCTTGCAATTCCCTTCAACGGCAGCTTGCTCTTCCTCAATGATGAGCGATTCCATAATTTCTCATCATTCATCTATCATTGTCCACGTCTCTCCCAAAGGGACGAGGCCGTCGGACAAGTGCCACAAGATATCGGATGAGAACGTTAATTTTGTTTCACATCACGTTCACAGCGTCTGTGGCGATGTATCACTTCGAGACTCCGCTCATTAGGCGACATGACAGTGGACCGGGGCCGCCCCGGTGAGAGTCGGCCAGGCAAGATTCCTCAGGCGGCAGAAGGCCGAGTCAGCGGAGAAGTCAATCATCCCATCGATAGGCTAAGAGCTCCTGCATTCATGCCCTCGCTTGGGAGGGCTCATGAGGGCGCCGCTCCGCGCGTCACGCGTAGAGCTCGTGGAAAGAAGGCGTCAAGGCAGCTTGAAATAAACATCTCGATAACTGAGGTGATTGGGCATCGATTGGAAGAAGTTTGGAGCCTCTCAAAGGAGGGGAAGCGCCGAAAATTGGTTCTGTGACGGACAGACAGACATTGCGATGTTGTTCGATAGGGGTATAGTTGGTCTTCCAATTCTTGTATCTAGATTCCCGCGGCGATTCTTTCCGCGGGCTGCATCCTCCACATCCGTGGGAATCCACGCGTGGGCCGCTTCGTGAGCATGCATGCAGCAGATGAAAACAAGGAGCTCCGTCGAACACGTGTACCCCGCATGTATCCTCTTATCTAGCATTCATGACGTTGCTCAGCTCGCGGGGGCGTCGCGAACTAGTATTTCCGCTTCGCTCTTTGCTTCATTTTTCTTGTCCGAAATTTCCCTCAGAGCCGCCTCAGGGAGTTGTAGCCCGGGAGATGATGTGAAACGCGTGTTTCTCGCGGCGAAGCGAACATCGCCGCGCACAACATCAGACACTTGGAATTCCCGCATTTCCATGTCATCTCGAAGCACCCTGATCAGGAGGCGCGGCTTCCACCATCAGAACTCGAGATCTCGGGAGAACCATGATACCGCAACGGAGCTCGCGTATGGCTCAGTCGCGTATTTTTAATTTAATCGTGACCGAGAGCTCCGCGGTGGAAAATCTAACGAAATAGTTTGAATGAGGGGTATTAAGCATCCGCTCGCGTCCGATAGTGTCCAGCCTTTTGGACAGTTGACGGAGCGTAGGCTGAGTAGATATAATACATATTCGCAATCGTCGGGATTATCAAATTTGATTCTTTCTGGTTCCTAACCATGGAAGACCGAGGACGGGTACTCCAGAGGTTCTTCCGCGTCTCGGTTTGAGCTCGAGCTCTCCAGAAATGCTCTTCTCCACTGAGATGCTCTCTTAAGGAACGAAACAACCTCCAAATCTGTCTCTTGGTCAACAAACTGCCAGATGAGGAATCTTCTCGTAGCTTCATCTCTCCATCGGCCCCGGTTCCCTTCGCGGCGCTCCATCGACTGACTGAAGACATCGTCGGCGTCTCATAGTGGATATGCACCGCTGACGCACGATTCATCATAGTTTGGTCGTATGGGTCCTTTTTTTCCTCGACAGCTCCGCGTCCCGGTGTTCGATATCGATCAATATTTTATGTCGTCCAAACAAGTCCCCTACGCGACCACGGGACGCTTACTTCGACGAAATGACCCTGCGGACAGTGGGTCGACTCTGGGACGTCTCTCGCGATGGAGGCGGAAAGCTTCCATCAAGCGCCGGGCTCGACGGGAGCACTCGGCCCATCTTTCGATGAAAGGAGGTCCCGAAATTCGATATCGTCACTTCTCCTTCCTTTGTCGAAACATGGAGCTAGCTCGTTGTAGGACTCGTTTCGGAGCTGTACTACCCGAGTTCGGCATCAAAACATCTGTGCGCCTGGGTTTCGCCTCCATTTGACGTGTTGCCGGCGGGTTTCTGACTTCCAAATGAGTTTTTTTTCACTCAGTGCACAGCTGCAGGTCGACTGACGGAGAGGCTTCGCTGCATCGAGGTTGAGTTCATTGCCGAGTAGTGAGCGCCGCATTTACATTGCATTTGCATAGACTTACTCACAAGTAGGGCCACGAGGATATTTCGCAAATAGGTTTCTCTTCGATGAATTCGACCACCTGACATGGCAATGCGAGAATTCGAGTCAGGAAGTCTTGCTCCCGCGACAATGTCCAACGAGATTTGGTAGCGGGAAACTATAAGGATCCGCTGAGATTTATCACGCCTGAATTCAGTAGATTGGCTCTGCGATACTAAGGTCCGATATAATGAACCACGGAGCCATGAATGGCCGGACGATCCCTGCCCAATGTGCATGGTCCCTTCTGCTCGAAAATAATGAGACAACATCCGGAATTCAAAGAGATTAAATCAGTGTTCCGCGACCGGGGGTCCTTAGATCCCTGGGGGTCCTCAGAGCTCTCCCTGGGGGTTCTCGGAGCTGGGAGATATTCTGACCCTGTGGTGACTGTCAGGGGTATACATGCGCTTTGAGCAATATACATGAGATTCTCGCGATATATGCTCGATACGAGGTAAGTGTATGCGAGAGAATCTTGGGGAAGCTTCTGGATTCTCGAGAATCTTGTCTTCGTTAATTTTTTTCCCGAAAGGGGTCCACGAGACTCATGGACCCCTCGTAGGGGTCCCCGAGTCGAAAAAGGTTGCAATGGATTAAATGGATCAATGTAGTGCATCTGATAAATTTGGTTCGATATCCTGAATTGGAGACGCGAGAAAATCATCTGGCCTTTCGATAGAGGCACATTCAGAGAGGAGAAGGAACGATCCAGAACAAATACTAGGTTACCCCTCCTAATTACCCTCCGATGAATGTCCGGAGACAGGTTGACGGAAAACCGGAATCGCCTCCATGCGAAGGTACCCCTGCGAGCGAGGCGTGTTCCTCGTTGGAGGAATGGTTGTGCGCTAGCTAAACCGAGGGAGAAGGAGGGATCGATTTCGGATTCTGGAATGTCCGAGCATATCCCGGGCAACTTCACCTTCGCTCGCGACATCTTGTAGCGGAAGAGAATTGGACGTATAATTTAATACCTCAAGGAAAACGGACGAAGCATTCGCTCCCAAATGCAAATATGGGACGCGCAGCGGCTCACGTGCGGTTCTTTTCCCCAGCCGAAGGGTGATCGAAATATTTTTGCAAAATCGCATCTCTTTCGGGAAGCCGGATCTCGATGTAACTCAAACAGAAAAGAAGGACAGGGCGTCGACTCAAATATCTGTGAACTTCCATCTGATGATCTATCGATAGCACTGTCGCTGCAAGAGCTTTATTTATCCTCGACCAGCTCATCTGTGAATGGGAACTTATTCTCGTCGCATTAAGCTTCGGCTCTCTCCAAGAATAGACCGGCCCACGCCCGATCGCGATGCAGACTGAATGGAGAATTTATTCTTGGAAGCTGTCGACCAGGTGATGATTCGAATAATTCACAAATCCCGCTCCGACTCACCCGCGGGCTCTTTCCATCTGGCGCGGCAAGGTGTGGATTCGGATTTCCCGGTATGCCATCAGACTCGCTTTTCTCTACCCACACGTTCTCGGACTGTTTTCACTCCGATCGTTCTAACGGTACGCAGCCTCCCTCTCACCGTCCTGCGGTCGTGGACATCATGAGTAGCTCGTCAAAGCCTTGGGGTCATGATTCCACTTAATAGATTGCTGGAGCGGACCGGCAGGCAGGCAGGCAACTCTGCAAGAGGCAAGGAAACCGTTGCACTTTCGTGAACCGTTCCGCCCTGATCCCATTTCCTGCCGGGATGTTTGTTTTCTCGAGATGGCTCTTCGCCGTTTGGTTGGCCTGTTTACTGAGTGAGTGTGGGAGTCACCAAGATGCTGCTCTCATCATTATTATGAGATCGGCGTCGGCGGCGCCGGCGATGATCGAATCATGCGGCCAGGACGGATGTTTGCCAATTCTCAACAAACAGACTTTGGGCGAGTGAGCGACTGTTGCCCTCTTGGCAAGATACTTCAACGGTGGCGCTCCGGTCGAAATTCAGGGGCTATCCTGTCACGAC